CACTTCCTATGGTTTTTATTTTTCTGTTAGTTTTAATGGCATTTATTAAATAATGTCGCCGATTCCGCTTGGCTTGCGGATTCCCGTGAACTTATGTGTATCGGCGTAAAAGCGCATATGGATTCGATTTAGGCTTAATTTTCAAAGAGGAGTAAAGCCAATGGCTATCGACGTTTTTCTACATAATTTGCGGTCCTCCGTTGACAAATTCCTCTTAGATATAATTGTAATATTATCACCCTCCGGCCAAAGTATAACAAGCGCTATTCGACGCGACGTTTAAAAACCTCCGCGGCTATTTTATTGTTTTACAGAGAAATTGTTCAAAGAAGCTGTCCGAAAATTTCACTAAATTTTCTTTGTGCTACCGATGAAATTCAGTGAAATTAACAGACAGATTCAACCAACAATTTATCTCTGTAAAAATGAAATGGCGGCGGAAATTTTTAAACATTACATGACGCTTGTGATACTTTGGCCCGAAGGTGACGATATAACTCACGACTTTCAACTAGTGTCTTAAAACCTTGAGTTCAACAACTTGTCGATCGACTATCGAATTTTTCCCGATAACCCAGTAGAGCCACCTAACATTTTTTAACCTAGTAAAAATTTGCAATTTGCAATATGTGTCTTTACCCTAAAATGAAAAGTGACTCAGTCCCCAATAACCATAAATTGATTTATTTATACCAAATCATACTAGAGTTTTCCACGAACGCTCTGGAACAAAAACGCCCAGAAATTGTCAAACAAAATCACAGTTATGGCTGTTTAAAGTTTGAACTTTGAAGTTCAGAAAAAGTAGTTTCAAGACAAAACCATTTAAAATCGTAGTCTCTTATACTTGAGGCACAAAATTCCAAGTTACCATGAAACTTCACCATCTCTGTTGGCAAAAGCATGAACTGAACCGCTCAACTCAAGGACTGTGCAGAGATTTTTAGTCGTAATCTGACGCCTTGTCGCCACGAAACGTTTCACAGGATTTTTCCCAAGTTCGGATCGCAGGAATGAAATGTCCAGTTTGTCTAGGCTTGTCCCCCGTTAAACAACAACAAAAATAATTTCTTCCCCTTCTTTTTAAGTCGTTACTGCGACTCCAAAATGACTCTAAGTTGGCACTGTGATAAGTATTGACTGACTCAATATTTTTCCCAACTTCGCAAACGATATTTTTCCCTAGGTCAAATCCCGTGAAACGCCCCGTGGAGACAAGGCCCGAAAAGCAGATTTTTTTTTACCCAATCCGATACAAATTGCACCGCTGTTTTCAACTTCGAGAACTAAGGTCTCTTTTACCATGGACAATCACGATTATCAAATATTTTCACTCAGGTGGCAACACACCCCCTTTGACGCTTGGCAAAGCCGCTTACGCGCAGAGTGCGTATTGGCCGAGGCCGTCGAATACGTTTTCATCAACGCAGGGCGGAGGATCCCGCCGTCGGCATTGGCAAGAGGGGGTGGGGGAGGGGGGCAATTGAAACGGAAAGTGACTATATTAACATTTACAAGTGGCTAAACAAAGTAGAGAGCTCCGTGGCCACGGCTCGCGGCCGACCAACCCCTGTTTGACGAGGTATCATGAATAATAACAAGGCAACCCCCCACCCCCACCCCCCACCCCTCGGTG